ACAAAGAGGGTCATTGAAGGGCATGAGTTTGTTCTGGTTCTTGGGTATGCCCCTTGGTGCTCTAGGAGCGCTGAGCTTATGCCTCAGTTTGCTGAGGCTGCAACTTCATTGAAAGAATTGGGAAGCCCCCTTTTGTTGGCTAAGCTTGATGCCGAGCGGCATCCGAAAACGGCGTCGTCTCTTGAGATCAAAGGGTTCCCTACTCTGCTTCTGTTTGTCAATGGCACCTCTCATGTGTACACCGGTGGCTTTTCTGCGTAAGTGGCTCTCAAATTTGGTCAAACTGTTTAATTGAAATATTTTATGTGAATCTTTGTTGTTTTGTCGTCAGTGAGATGATAAAATATAACTCAGCAGATAATTTCCGTGCTTTATGTGCTTGTTATTGTCCTTATAGTGTATTTGACTTGAACAATTTTTTATCATTTCTGTGCAGCATGAATATAATGTACGTATGTGTTTGAATATATACATCAACTGAGTTGTGCATTTCCATTAATGTTCTTGTTGGGAAAATTTTGATTCAGGGAAGAAATAGTGATTTGGGCAAGGAAGAAAACCGGTGAACCTGTTATTAGGATAAGCTCAGTGACAGAGGCAGAAGAGTTTCTCAAAAAGCAGCATATATTTGTTGTTGGTCTGTTTGAAAAATTTGAGGTTGGTGCACGTTTATTGTTTTTCAAGATTTTCTTAGAATGCTACACAAGAAATACTGTCAACCTGATTTTGAATCTGGGGTTAGAATGAGGCCTCTGCCTTGATTTTATATTTGTTTGGACAGTATTTATATTCTTGGGCTTATATGTTTGTTCTGAAATTATTCAGGGGCCTGACTACGAAGAATTTGTAAAAGCAGCAGCAGTGGACAATGCAATCCAGTTTGTAGGAGTAAGCAACATTGAGGTTGCTAAAGTTCTCTTTCCAACTGTAAAACCAACTAATCTTTTCCTTGGAATTGTGAAAAGTGAGCCAGAAAGATATACTTCATATGGTGAGTTGGTGAATGAGTAAAACTTTTCTGTTACCGAAGCAATTTTTCTCTCAGAAAAGCTTGTTATTTGTAGTTCAATTTTATTCTTGTATTTGTGCTTTGTCTAATTTATATCTCCTTTATTTTTCCAAGGTGATGAAATTTATTGTTTTCCTGCTTCCTTGTTCAACTTGGTCAATATGTGATTTTTGCTCCTTTTTTTATTAAATGAAGTTTATATTCTGTGAACAATAAGTGGACATATTTTTGAGTTACGGACTTATTCTAACATATTTTTGAGTTACGGACTTATTCGAACGTATTCATGAATTTGTTTGGTTTTGCAGAAGGGACCTTTGAAACGGACAAAATTTTGCAGTTTCTAGACTATAACAAGCTTCCATTGGTTAACAAACTGACTGAAACAAATTCCGCCAGAGTTTACTCCAGCCCTATTAAACTTCAGGTTGCTGTTTCTTTCAATACATCATATCTTTTTTAAGCTTCAATCATAAATTGTATTATTATTATATATATGTCTACATCTTTTTGTTGAATTTTTATATTGTTTTACCATGTACCTTGTTGTAGATGAAAATTTGAAGTCTGGACAATATTAAATGAAAAAGGTCATTGAAAATAAATAAATAAGAAGCAACAATTGTGTGTACAATACTCAAAATTGTACATTGAACTAGTACACTCGGTAGACAATTAAGAGCCAAGTTTGGCCTTCTGAATTAGATTTTTTGAGAAACAGTAATCAAAAGCTACGTTAAGATCTTCCAAACTTGTGGAAACTGTTCATCTGTCTTCTGGATTCTGGAATTCAAGATACTCAAAATGACAATTTGCAGGTTTCTGCCATTCAATGTAAATCATATGTCAAAATAATATTTGTGGACGTACATTAACTTTTAAGGGTTACACTTTTTGAAGCTTAGTATCAATCACAATTTGGAAATGCGAAAGCATACTTGCAAGGTTATTTTTTTTAATAACTCTCTTTTATTATTGCCTAGGTTCTTGTCTTTGCAGAGGCATATGACTTTAAGAAACTTCTTGAGCCCCTTCAAGATGTTGCTAGACAGTTCAAGTCAAAGGTACTCAAATGCACTAAATGTTGAAGCTATTGGGTGAACTGGTTAAACCTACTAATGATTTTTCCTTTGTCATTCTCTTGATCCAGATACTGTTTATATATATAGACAATACAGATGAAAACCTTGCTAAGCCGTACTTAACGTTATTTGGGCTTGAAGAATCAAATAGTACTGTGGTCAGTTTCCCACATCTGAACTAGATGTTGACTATGAGTTCTTGTTTTTTGTCAAATAAGCTTTTAATAAGGCTATAACTAATCAGGTTTTGTATGTGCTCTGAACAGGTGACTGCTTTTGATATCAGTGTCAACTCTAAATATTTATTAGAGTCAGATCCAACACCAAGCAATATCAAAGTAACAATTTCTCATGTTGTGAATTTTCCTTGTGAAGAATATCTACCTAGGCCACTAAAATTCTGAATTGGCTTTTGTAGGAGTTCTGCTCAGGTCTTCTGCGTGGTACTCTATCTTCGCACTTCAAATCACAACCAATACCTGATAACGTGAGTCCCCTCCCTTCCTCTTCAAAGGTTTTTGGATCAGTGATGATAACTTAATCTTGGAATCCTATCTTAGTTTCTTTTCTATTAGGATACTTTTGGACAATAGTTGCATGATTGGTTCTCTGTGTGTTACATTATCCTTTAGCCAAAAAGTTTATGTTATTCGCTGAGCTGGTGAATTGTGAACCAACCAAAACTGTAGTGTGGTGTTTAACATAGCCATTAAGAACAAATATGAAGGCACTTCTTGTAAACTTATTGTTCTATAACATAAAGTATTGTCTAAATCAGCCAATAAATCTGGGAGATGCATAACATTTTTATGAATTTTTTAAATATATGCTATATCACATATTTTGATCTTACTTCGATACAATTGCGAAAATTGCAGACAAATGAAACTGTCCAGAGCATTGTAGGAAAGACATTTGATGACAAGGTTTTAAATAGTCACAAGAATGTTCTACTAGAGGTATGTGTGTTTCTCCCTTCTACTTCTGCTCACTTGATCACATCTAAGCGGAAGTTGCTCATGTTTGAAAAAGAAAAGTATGTAATAATATTTCTGTTATATATAATTATGCACTGTTATGTTAGGATTTGTCTTGCTTATCAAACAAAATATGAAATATGGAATATCAATGCTCTTAGTTTGGCTGAGCTATGTTATGATCGTATTCTTTGATATTCTTTACTCTATGAGCATGTACATTGTACATTGATACATGTACTGCACCTATTTTTCCCGAAAAAGAAGCCATTGCATAAAGTAGGTAAAAAACACTGAAAATACGAAGAATTGTAGAATTCATCATATTTTTGTACTAGTAATCTCGAGTTCCATTGGTCAAGATACATAGAAGAAACCACTTCTTTAAAACAAAGAATTATGGAATTCAATAATAACCTTGATCTCCATATGATAGCGGTGACGGTGAGTGAATTTTTTGAATATACTTAACTATATACACCAAAACACTACCCCACCCAACTTCCAGAATTTTTTTAAATCTTAATTGGTGTTTAGGTTTCAGAATTTTCTATAGAGAGACTATTTGGACTATGCCCATAGAAAATTTATCATAATTGTGAAACAGGTGTTCACACCATGGTGCATCAACTGCGAGACCACTAGCAAACACGTTGAGAAGTTGGCTAAGCACTTTAAAGGTTTGGATAATCTAGTCTTCGCAAGAATAGATGCTTCTGCAAATGAACATCCAAAACTGCAAGTAAGTGTTATTTTTGGGATCATGTATTGGTTTTCAATATTGGATAAAACCCTAGCTTTTCATGTAATTTATGACCTTGGACATTGGATAAGCACTAAGGAGATACAGACGTGAACTTACTCTCATCCTGTGTTGATAGCATCTCAGAGCATGGGGAGGGCTAGTTATGAATATGCCTTTGTTTCAAGCACTTCCTATAGCATTTACTTATGTCCTGTTAGAGCATTTAGAGTTCCAGTCGTCTTCAATAGCTTGATAAGTCCTGGCTGTGAATCCTTGTTTGGTCCTCTGAAAATAGTGAGGCATTGTACATATAGACAGAGGGTGTCAATTTCCAACCAATTTAATATGGCAGAAATATTATCAATGAGAACCAACTCCGAGTCTCTAACCATGAAGTTTTCAGTTGATGAGACGCTAGAGTGATGATTTTGAAATCTATCTCAGTGATTATTGTTTGTTATTGCAGGTAAACGACTATCCAACACTCTTATTTTACACAGCCAATGATAAAGCCAATCCGGTAATTAGACATTACACATCCCGGTTTTTCTGTTATATTCCAATCCATAGAGCCATCTTATGCAAGAAATGTTTTCCACTCTGCAGATCAAACTTTCCACAAAATCCAGCTTGAAGGACCTGGGCACAACTATCAACAAACATTTGAAAGCGAAAGCGAAAGATAATGTTGCTAAAGAAAAAGATAATGTCCCTAAAGATGAATTATAGATACATATACTGGTTGGTATACCGAGAGTTCAAGATAGGATATGATACTGATTACTGCGTGATTTATTACTAGAATACTGAGGAAGACGGTTTTTTTTTCGGTTTTTTCCTTCTGGTCTGTAGGAGGACGTTAGGCATGAGGAATTGGTATATACACTCCTTTGTTAAGGCTTCTAGCTTTTCTGTGAAGCATTATATCTGTAGACTTGTCAATTTTGTCCTCACAAAAGTAGCTGCCTAGCTAAAGGTGCATATTTATTCACTTACAGTCAACAGAGATTTTACTGGAGCAATTCCTTTTTTGTGGCTGGTACATCGCACGGTGCAAATGATAATTTTCAAGAAAAAAAAAAAAAGTCCTACTTAGTATCTCAATCCATATTTGATTTGTTAAGCCATTAAAGAGAAAAATCTGCTCAAGATAGCATTTAGCAATTCTCGATTAGAAGGTTTCCAAGTAAGGGTAAAATGTACTGATTCATACTTCAATTATTAACGAGAAATTTCAATCAGGGTAAAATGTACTGAATCCTAGAAACAACCATCTCTTTTTGTCTTATAGAAACAATTATTGAAGAAGACATTTGTGGGCAATGGACAACATGTTCAGATACTACAAGTACTAAATCACTGGTGTCAACAATGGTTTCTTCAAGAAGTGAGCCTCAAGATTCTCAACCACAAGGTCAGCCATGACATTGCGAGTTTCTACCGTGCCGCTTCCCACATGAGGCAACAGCACCACATTCTCAAGTCCAAACAGCTGCTCAGGAACTTCTGGTTCCTTCTCATAAACATCGAGCCCTGCCCCACCTAACCGGCCTTCTACCAGAGCGGATACCAACTCAGCTTCATCAACATGAGGGCCTCTCCCAATGTTGATGAGAACACCCTTTGGACCCAAAGCATCAATGACTTCCCGGTTGACAATGTGGCGGGTCTCTTCAGTTAATGGGCATGCAACAACTAGAACATCACAGTTGGAGGCCAACTCCACAACACTTGGGTAGTATTTGTACTTCAACTCTGGTTTTGCAGTTCGGGAGTAGTAAGCAATTGGGCAGCTAAAAGCCTCAGCTCTCTTTGCAACTGCTTTGCCGATTCTTCCCAGACCGATGATGCCAACTGTTTTTCCAGTGAACTGAAAAGAAAGGACAACTATTAAAACAAAGATACTATATGAATGAAAGTTAAAATCAAGAAAGAAATGTTTTAGGCAGACATTTCCCTAGCTCGTAGTTACTAATTCACTACTAACTCTATTTCAGGACCCAAGAAAGGGAACAAAAAGCTATTTGTTCTATATTCCTATAAATAAATATATAATTTGTTCTATCAATTGATAAACTCGACATTTCAAATTAGAGCTACATCTGTCTCCAACTTTAAAATGGTAGACATAATTAAAAGCGGTAAAGAACCCAAAAACATCAGCATGTCACAAAATTATTACATTCGAACTCCCATAATAACAACACATCTTGAGAATCTTGATTTCATGAAAGGACTTCATATCTTATGCTATCATGTGCATAGCACATAAGCAGCTTATATAAAAGTGGCAAAACTCCTTGAAACCTACAGGGAAGCAGTTTATACATGAAAGACAGAGGAGCAAAAGCAATTACACAGAATATTGAGAAATAGCAAAGTCCACGATATTGCCAATGAGATGACACAAGAACCACACAGAGGAAAATAATAAATCGAAAAATGCGTAATTCAACAGGCATTGACATTTGCACACAAAACAGATCAAAAATAACTATGTTAGTTTGGTTACCATTGAAAGTATTATACAGAATGGACGTGAATTTTGTTACTAAATTTTCAAATGCATTACTGTAAAATTGGAAACAATACGAAAAGTTTCAATAGATACACCAAGCCCGAAGAGCAAAGCAGCTAGTAAGCAAGCATTTTTCAACCAAAGAAATAGAATGCGATGAACACTCCATAAACACAAAGGGTTCACAGATACGGATATACATACAATAATGAGAAACAAGCAATAAACAACAGCAGCAAGCTTTCCTCATTACATCTACAGAAGAACCTATTCCAATAAGAATCAGAAACAATCAATCAATATCGAATACCATCTCACCCTCTTTCCCTTTAATGGGTATGGGTTGATGTCATCCTAAATACATCAGTACAAGAGTTGCTTTCAGTACAGACAACAGCACTTGAAGACATCTTTCAGCCTGTACTTAAACTGACTGCTAATCTGCAGAAGCACTAGTATTTCATGCCTTTAAATTCTAAACTCAGTAAAGAACATCAAATCCAGGACTTCACATCTTGTGCTTAACAACAAAGCTTTATCATCAATACAACAGGTCAATACCAGTATCACGTTTCTTATTCTTTTCAAACAACTGTTTATTTTTTGGGGTAAATTTTTACCATAAACTCAAACTGGGTATTCCACCAAACCCAACAAATAACAAACACAATTGCAAAATTTTACTTTAAACCCACATCAAAAATTTTACTTTAAACCCAGACACAAATCACAAAAACCATAATCAATATTACTTGAGACCAAAAGAAAAAAAGAAAAACAAACCAACTCAATGGTAAGTAAATGAAAAAAAAAAAGCATAACCAAGGCAAATTAAGTCCAAAAACAGAGAAAAGACACAACCTTGGTGGTCAACTTGTAGTCACCCTTCTTCCACTGCCCGCTCCTCACATACCGATCACTCTCACAGAGCCTTCTCAGCACAGCCAACGTCAACCCAATAGCAAGGTCCGCCACGTCATCGGTCAAAACATCGGGCGTGTTGGTGACGCGAATACCCTTTTCCCTGCACTTGTTCAAATCGACCTTATCGATCCCGACACTGAAACAGGCCACGATCTCCAGCTTCGGCAATTTCTCGATGAGCTCGGCGTCGGCTCCGTTCCCTGAATTACCGATGGCGGCTCGGATGGAGCCGGAGTTGTCCTTGAGGAACTGAGATTTTTGAGGGACGGTCCAGAGCTTTAAGAGGTTGAAGCGCTTCTCGAGCTCTTGCTCTAAGTATGAGGACATTGGGACTGGCATGAGAACCCCTATGGACTCCATTGTTGGATTTTCGGTACCGGGTTTCGATTGGTGGCTCCCAAAACGGTGGGAAAGGTTGGGATATGTGGACTGGTAGTGGTGGCCGGTTGTTTGTGGTTGTGTGGTGTTCAGAGAGGAGGACCAGTGGAAGGGAAGAAATGGAGTGAAATGTCGACGTCTCGTTGGATGAAGGCAGATTGAGATTAGCAACCAAGTTTGTTGTAGTGACCAGCCATGCTTGATTTTAAAAAATAAGATAAAATATGACAATAAAATATATTAATAGAATAATGCAATTTTGTTCTGCTAAATAATTAAAAGTTTATTTTGTTAATCTCATATTTAAGATTAATGTATATATCTATGTGTATATAAAGCAAAAGGTAGAGAATGATGAAATATTCAAAATACCAGAAATTGCCCTTGGTTAATTCAAACATTAAGGATTGAAATATATATATATATATATATATATATATATATATATATATATAACAAAAGACAGAAAATGGTGAAACATTTAAAATACCAGAAAATGCTCTTAGTTAAATCAAACATTAAGAATTGAAATTATTAATTAAATGAGGAAAATATGGTAAATTCACTTTTTTTTTTCTTCATATTTTAAAAAATAATAAAAAAAATAAAATAAGATAATATGTCCTATTTTTATGGAACATAACTAACCATGTTATCTTTTCTTAATTCTAAAAAAAAAATATAAAAAAAAAAATAAAAAAACCAATTGACACATGCGTAAGCATGTGCCAAGGGGCTAGTATATATATATAGCAAAAGACAGAAAATTGTTAAACATTAAAAAAAAACTCGAAACATTTGAAGGAAAATATCATTATAAAGAAAAAATTCAAAACACAATTTCATTTTAAAGGAAGAAAAACGTAAAACAATAGCTTATATTAAAATAAAAGGATTATTCGCAGAAATGGTCCCTCAACTATACCCCAAGTTACACTTTGGTCACTCAGCTTAAATATTAGTTGCAGAGGTCACTCAATTAGGTGTTTTATTGCATCGTTAGTCCTACCGTCAAGTCCGTTACTTTTTCTGTTTAAAATGATGACGTGGCAAGCATCTCTTAGATTATTGATGGACAAATGTGACTTTTCAGTTAGATTATTTATAGCAATGATCCCTCAACTATACTCGGAGTTACATTTTGGTCACTCAATTAGGTGTTGTGTTGGACCATTAGTCCCTACCATTAGAGAGACTTGACGGTAGGACTAACGGTGCAACAAAACACCTAATTGAGTGACCTCTGCAACTAATATTTGAGTTAAGTGACCAAAGTGTAACTTGGGGTATAGTTGAGGGACCATTGTTGCGAATAATCCAAAATAAAAATAATTAGAAAGCAAAAAGTAAATAAAACTCTATATTTAACAAGATTCCCCATAATTTGACCAAAAAAACAAGATTCTCTGAAAAAGAAGTGACACGAGGATGAGTCTGAATCGAGAGACTAGTTTAGTGCAAAAATGAGCTGGCAGAGTTGAGGGAGTAGGTGGAAATGGAAACTTCAGCAAAAGACAAGAGAACATGAACTGGAGTGTAGGTATTTTCAAAGCAAGTAGAAGATGATATCCTTTGAAACTATGCTAATATGGTAATTATGTTTGATTTGAGATGCATTTTGTGTAGGCCTTGTACGTTTTGCGTTTGCGTTGGTTCCTAGATTGGGATTTTGTTTCGGAAAATGCTAGGCTTACCACATTTTAATACCATATTGTGTACCATCTCTATATGGGCCCCATTGTATTGGTGGGCTCCATCTCTATTAGAGATGTGGTACACAATGTGGTATAAAAATGTGGTAAGCCTAGCATTATCCGTTTGTCTCTCTTGTTGTAACTCTTTCAGATTTTTTTTATACTTCTTATAACTTATAAGGGGAGAAGATACTTCTATCAATGAACACTTCCAACCTTTTTTTTTGTTGTCAAATATTGTTCCATCAAATTTAAGGGTAATTCCGTTTCTTTTTATCAAACCTACGACCTCAAGTGCAAGGAAATTTCATCACTTTAATTCTCTCCTCTCATTTCTAATTTCTCTCTTCTTTTTCTCTCTTTTTAGGTCATTTTGAAATTACAGACTCTTCATAGGGTAAAGGAGATCTTGCCGATTGAGGGTATCCACCACTTAATGGATACTTCAGATTGTTGTACTCGTTGGAGGTTCCAAGCACTTGCAAGTGAAGGACTTGTTAATGAGCCATCCCAACTACTTCCATTGCAGAAAACTGCAATAATTGAATAAATGGATGCAATGAATCTCTAGTCAAGCAGAAGCGAATATGCACTATAATTACCAAGATTCATTGCCAACTCTTGAAACAATGGTCATGGATTGAAGAAGTTTTGGTACCAGATGAAGACAATGAAGCCTTCAACAAATAATCTGTTAAACGACAGGTGTCAACAATGGTTTGTTCGAAAAGTGAGCCTCAAGATTCCCAATCACAAGGTCAGCCATGGCAGTGTCAGTTTGTACAGTGTCACTTCCTACATGAGGCAACAGTACCACATTCTCAAGCTCAAACAACTGCTCAGGTACTTCTGGTTCATTTTCATAAACATCAAGTCCAGCACCACCTAACCGGCCTTCTAGCAGAGCAGAGACCAGCTCGGGTTCATCAACATGAGGACCCCTCCCAATGTTAATGAGAACACCCCTTGGGCCCAAAGCATCAATTACTTCACGATTAATAATGTGACGGGTCTCTTCACTTAATGCGCATACAACAACCAGAATATCACAGTTTGAGGCCAACTCCACAACACTTGGATAGTATTTGTACTTCAACTCTGGTTTTTCTGTTCTGGAGTGGTAAGAGATTGGGCAGCTAAAAGCCTCAGCTCTCTTGGCAACTGCTTTGCCAATTCTTCCCAGACCGAGGATGCCAACTGTTTTTCCAGTGAACTGTAAATGACAGGAGAGCTATTAGAAAGCGGAAACAAAGATACTATATGGATGAAAAGTCAGGAAGAGAAATAAAAAAAGCTATTTGTTTTAGCAACTGATGAACTTGACGTATCACAATAAAGGCACATCTATCTCCAACTTTTAAAAGTTCAAATGTCAATTACGTACATCATCAAAGATTCAAAGGAGGTATAGAACCCAAAAATTTTCTATATCATATACTTATATGCGACATAACCATTATATTCAAACTACCCTAAGAAAACACATCGTTAGCATCTTGTCATGGTTTTAACAAAGGAATTCATACCTTTATGCTGTCATTTACTTGATTACTATATCGTGCGGCATTTTTATGCATGAAAGACAGAACACCAAAAGCAATTATACAATATTGAGCAATACCCAGTCTACGATAATGGCAATGAAACAAACACCACACAGCGGAACACAGTAGATAGTATTGAGCAATACCCAGTCTACGATAATGGCAATGAAACAAACACCACACAGCGGAACACAGTAGATAGAAAATGACCAACTCAGCCAAAATCAATTCACATCTGTACAGAAAACAGAGAAACAAACACCAAGGTTTCCTTGTTTTGGTCACTGTTGAAAAAAGTTTTGCATTCTCTTTTATAATATCATATACACAAACAATGTAGAGTGCACTGAACGAAACACTACAAGAAAGACATCAATCACTGCATCATAGCAGAACAAACAATTACTACCATCTCACCTCCTTCTTTGCTTGTCATCCGAAATACATCACCCCAACAAAGTTGTTTTCAATAAAGGTTCAGGAAAATAAGACACCCAACGGCAACAGCAATTGGAAACATCATTCAGTGAGCAATAGTGTTTGCCTGACTGCTAATTTGGACAAGAACTACGCGTTCTTGCCCTCGAACACTAAATTGAGCATAGAACATCAAATCCACTACTTCATATCTTGTTCTTAACAGCAAAGCCTTATCAAGAATCACCCGTTTAACTTTTCAATATCAGTATCAGGTTTCTTATTCTTTCCCTTTTGGGTTCAACAATTGGTAAACTTTCTTTACCATAATCTCCAATTCCAGTAAACCAACATTAGAAATTGGTTGCCAATGCACAAGCAAAGCAAAGCAAAACAAAATCAACCCAATAATAAGCAATAAAAATTATGTCTAAAATACTAAGAAAAAGCAAACCTTGGTGGTCAACTTGTAGTCACCCTTCTTCCACAGCCCACTCCTCACATACCGATCACTCTCACAGAGCCTTCTCAACACAGCCAACGCCAACCCAATAGCAAGGTCCGCCACGTCATCTGTCAAAACATCGGGCGTGTTGGTGACCCGAACACCCTTTTCCCTGCACTTGTTCAAATCGACTTTATCGATCCCAACGCTGAAGCTGGCCACGATCTCCAGCTTCGGCAAAGTCTCGATGAGCTCGGCGTCGGCTCCGTTCCCTGCATTGCCGATGACGGCTCGGATGGAGCTGGAGTTGTCCTTGAGGAACTGAGATTTTTGAGGGACGGTCCAGAGCTTCAAGAGGTTGAAGCGCTTCTCGAGCTCTTGCTCTAAATATGGGGACATTGGAACTGGCATGAGCACGCCTATGGAGTCCATTGTTGGATTTTGAGTAATGTGTTTTGATTGGTTTTGAGTTTTGTGGCCCCAAAAACGCTTGGAAAAGGTTGTGATTTGTGAACCGAGAGTGAGCCGGTGA